AACTCGTAAGCTGGGGACGGAAGAAGGAGTCCCCCTCTCAAATGGAGCGTCTACCTGCATGGGGTCAACATGGCTTCCCTGTGTGTAACCTTACCTTAATGTCACCACGGTCCAGTGAGACAGTCCTCATCTCATCTGAGAGGAACCAGCAGGGGCCGAGACTTACCAGACCTGAGCACAGGGTGTGATCCTCCCACCTGAGACTCCCCAAATCCTAGGATTACAGGTATGAGCCACCATGTCCAGTCATATCGCAGATTTTAACCTCAAGGGAATGGTCTTCAGTGGTGGGCATCAAGCTCCAGGACCTGGCGTCTGGCAGCTGTGGTGAGAGGCTTCAGGAGAGCCAAGATGCCTGGTATCCCCACCCCTTCGGGCTGTTGGGGGCAGGGCTGGGGGCCAGGGGGATGGCAAGGTCTTGTTTGTGTGTGCTTGTGGGATTTGAGTTTCTGATGTGTCGTAATCACTGCCAGGCCTTCCCAGTTGGAACCAGAGTGGGCACAGGGCCAAGGCTTGCTGCCCTCTGGGCAGATATAAGAGCTAGGGAGGAGAGCCTGGAGCCAGAGCCGGGGCAGAGGGCCAGCCACCTACCCGGGGACCAGGGATCGGAGCTAAACCGGCCGCACACAGACCACCAGGTGGGCAGAGTCAGTGCCATGTGTGGCCCCCTCTCTGGGGATCAGGGAGATACGCTAAAGGCTGGGTGAGTACATCCTTCCACGGCTCCCCTATTTCCCTTCTCCCTCTGAGTTCCTCACCCTGCAACTGACCAAGTGACTGCCTGTCCCAGAGGCACCCAGGTGGAGGCTGAGGGGCCACTTGTCAGGGATTCGAACCTTAGACTCTCAAAGAGTCAGTGTAGGGAGATTGTAATAAGTATTGCCACTCACCCAGCACCCACAAACAACATAAGGTACTGTTATCTCACCAAATCGAGGTCAGTAGGTTGGATGCCTGGCTTAGCACCCTAGCTCTCTAGGATTTAACTTCATTTACTCTTACAAGCAGCCCTGATGTAGGTGTATATATTAATATTTACAGGTGAGGTGACTGAAGCACAGAGATGTAAAGTAATTTTCCCAAGGCCACACAGCAAAGTAAGTGACAAAACCAGGATTTGAACTCCCTGACTCCAGAGCTTGTCCTCTTAACTGACGTACTACAATGTCAAGTGACTGATGAGTTCCTTCTCTTTTCTGAATGGCAGTTTCCTTATCTCTAGTCCGAGGGTTTTAAGGTTTGATGACCAGAAAGATACTACCTTGAGCTTCCCTAAAAGTACTCGGACATGGGTCAACTTTAAGCACCTGGGTAACTTTGTTGGAAACACTTATCAAGAACTATGTGTATGGCCTTTGATCCAGCATTCAACTTTTGAAATTTATCATAAAGGGTGCAATCAGTTTTATGAACAACGTTCACTGCAGTTTTGCTAATAATTAGAGAAAATTAGAAGTAAACAAAATGTCCAACAGTAGGGGGAACAAATGCTGAATGTCCTGATTAAATACTGCGCAGCCGCTCAAGGAATCACGCACTCCAAGAGCGTGGGGCACCTTGGAGAATTCTTGATTGTTGTTAGTAGAAAAAGTACTTTATAAAACTGTGTGGTTGGCCGGGCACAGTGGCTCATGCCTGCAATCCCAGCACTTTGGGAGGCTGAGGAGGGCAGATCACCTGAGGTCAGGAGTTCGAGACCAGCCTGACCAACATGGAGAAACCCCATCTCTATTAAAAATATAAAATTAGCTGGGTGTGTTGGCGCACGCCTCTAATCCCAGCTATTTGGGAGGCTGAGAGAGGGGAATCTCTTGAACCTGGGAGGCAGAGGTTGCAGTGAGCTGAGATCATGTCACTGCACTCCAGCCTGAACAACAGAGCTAGATTCTGTCTCAAAAACAAACAAAAAAAACTGTGTGGTCAATATGGTATGAACACATGGTGTGATCCCTTTGCAAATGTGTATACATGTGTCTATGTGAAATAAATATAAAAGACTGGAACATACACCCTTGGGGGTTAAGAGTTTATTTGTGACAGAATTGTGAACATTTTTATATTCTTATTCTTTTCTGGTTTCTCAAATCTTCTACAATATCTATACATCACTTTTTAATTAGAAAAAAAAAAAAGCTTTGGCCAGGCAAGGTGGCTCATGCCTGTAATCCCAGCACTTTGGGAGGGTGAGGTGGGCGGATCACCTGATGTCAGGAGTTCGAGACCAGCCTGACCAACATGGAGAAACCCCATCTCTATTAAAAATATAAAATTAGCTAGGTGGAGGGTGAGGCAAAAGAATTGCTTGAACCCGGGAGGCGGAGGTTGCAGTGAGCCCAGATGGCGCCACTGCACTCCAGCCTGGGCAACAAGAGTGAAACTCTATCTCAAAAATAAATAAATAAATAAATAAATAAATATTTTAAAAAATCTTTTAAAATAATCTATTCTTTTCTTTTTTTTTTTTACTGAACATTAACAAAAGTTTATTTATGTTTCAATTTAGAATTGCATCTGTTCCCCCCACCCCCATCTGGAACTAAATATGGGAAAAGAAACAAAGACTTAGTAAAGAAACTTTCTGTTAAATGACAAGCAAAGCAATGATGAAAGCCTAAAATACATCTATGTTTAGGATGCAAAGTAAAAATAGCTTTTTTTTTTTTTTGAGACAGGGCCTCACTCTGTCGCCCAGGCTGGAGTGCAGTGGCGCAATCTCGGCTCCCTGCAGCCTCCTCCCCTCAGGTTCAGGTGATCCTCCCACCTCAGTCTTCCGAGGAGCTGGGATTAAGGCACACGACACCACGGCCAGTTAATTTTTGTTTTGTTTTTTTTGTAGAGACAGGGTTTCACCATGTTGCCCAGGCTGGTCTCAAACTCCTGGACTCAAGTGATCCACCTCCCTCAGCCTACCGGCATGAGCCACCACACACAGCCAGATTATTCTTTTGGTCTAGGCATGCCCCCTTCTAGCTTCCGTTCTAACGCACTCATCGGCGTGGAGAGGGAAGTGAATGGCAGCCTGTCAGTCCCGCAAAGGCTTCTGAGATTATCTGGTTCAACATGTTACGTGTGGTAAAACTGAGGCTCAGGAGTTCAAATGGGCTTATGCAAGGTCATACGGGGAACTAGAGGCCCCAGACCTCCAGCCTGGGCCTTAGTCATCTGGCCAATGGCCCACAGTCCCCAGGCCAGGCTGCCAGAAGGGCAAGGAGGTGAAAAGGAATTGCAACTAGAATTTATGGTGTATATACATGTTAGATGCTAACTGCAATGAGGCCTTGAATGCCAAGTTGCTCACAGACCCACCCAGCAGCAGCTCGGCCTGGGAGTGACAGGTGAGAGGGAGCAAAGGGCAGCTGGGGTGGGCATGGAGCTGGCTGGGTGTGTCCCAGGCCTCTCCCTCTCATCTCTAGGCCTCACCTATCAGCGCTTCCTTCCTGGGCAGGGCTGAGGATTCACTCACTGCCCACGGCCGGCCAGGCAGGGACAGGAGAATGAGAGGCCTCCGCTGGCGTTACACTCGGCTGGTAAGGGTTCCAGCTCCGGCTGTGGTGCAGGTTAGGAGGTGGAAGGAGGCGAGGTCTCTGGCAGGCTGGGGCCTGGGCTAGGGTTGGATGCGGGTGGTGACTTGTTCCCCTCTCCAGTCCCTCCCTGGCAGGCCTGTGGTTTGGAGCAAGGACTGACTCAGGAACGTGGGCTCTTAACCCCTCTGCTCCAAGGTCCTCAAGGAGGACAGACCGATGTCTCTGTCCCTTCCTCCCTGGAGTGGGTGCTGGATGGAGCTCTGTTCAGAGCCACACACAGCTAGACCCTGCCTCAGGCCTGAGCCTGGAGAACAGAGCGGGGCAGGAGAGGGGGTCCTGTCCATCTCTCAGCCCCTGAGAAGTCTCTTCTTCCTGGGAAAAGCCTGCAAGGTCATTGTGTGGAGGCACATGCACACATACATATACACACTCACACACATACACATGCAAACACACACACTCAAATGCACTCAAATGCACTCACACACACGCACTCAAATACACACATACACACTCAAATGCACTCACACACTCAAACACACATACAGACATACACACAAACACACACACTAAACACGCACACACTCACACTCTGGTACAGAGTGGAAGCTCAATTGAATAAATGAGTGAGTGAATAATGATGCCCCTGATGGATGTACATATTTACACCATCCCAACTCACACAAACACATTGATATATAAATACACACATTTACACTCAGTACCTCCTCACACTGATGTGCCTACACAACTCTATTCCAAGCCAACACACAATTCACATAGACAAACACATTTTACATGAACTTACATATATGATCTCACATATGACTGCGTGCATCATTTCATGGGCTTCATGGGGAAACCTTTGGGCTTCCTTTTCTTCCTTTGGAAAATGCTGATAAATAAGCCGGGGGTGGTGGCTCACGCCTGCAATCCCAGCACTTTGGGAGGCCGAGCCAGGCGGATCACCTGAGGTCAGGAGTTCGAGACCAGCCTGGCCAACATGAGGAAACAGGCATGCTGGTGGGCATCTGTAGTCCCGGCTACTTGGGAGGCTGAGACAAGAAAATTGTTTGAACCTGGGAGCTGGAGGTCACAGTGAGCCAAGATTGCACCACTGAACTCCAGCCTGGGTGACAGAGCAAGATCCTGTCTCAAAAAAAAAAAAAAAAAAAAAAAGATGAAGAAGAAGAAATACACAGAGATCACAGACAGCACACACTGAACACAGGCCTGGGCAAGGATGGGCTTTTTGTTGTTTTCATTATTTAATGTACAAACACACACAATTGAAGCTTCCAGGGCTGGGCCACCATCTGCCTTCTCCTCTGCTCCCAAGCTTAGAACTTGATCCCTGACACCCACCCAGGATCCAGGGCAAACAGGCCGACAAACTGCAGGGCCCATGGCCCCATCTGAGCCTTGTGGGGTGCTGGCGGGGGTCGGGGGACTGTGCTCCAGCCCTGAGCCGGTAGGGACCAGGGAGGAAGCAGGCTGGCAGCAGGGGCAGCATCCTGTCTGTCGTGGAAACCCCCAAATACTCTGGGCTGGGCTGGGGGTTACAGGCACATGGGCAGGGAGTGATGAGGGGGCCCGAGGAGGCTCCTGGGCTCAGGAGATGGTAGAAGTTGGGACCTCCTGTCCCTTGACCCACTAGGCCTCTTTGTGTTTTCACAGCCCACCCAGGTGGAGGACACCCTGTCTGGGGAGGAGGGTAACAAGGAGGAAGAGGAGGAGGAGGCAGCTCCAGACCCGGCTGCTGCTCCTGAGGATCCCATGGTGCCCCAGCTGACAGAAGCCAGCCAAGTTTTGAGTGCCTCAGATATTAGGCAGGTCCGGACACTGCCCATGGCACAAGAATTTCAGCCCTAAACCTGAGTCTCACCCTCCTGCCCTATACCAGCCACACCCAGGGGCACCTAGAGTCATCCTTGCTCTGTTCTCATCATGCATTACTTCTGGCAAATTGCTCCTTCTCTCGGGGCTTTGCTTCCTTTCTTGTAAAATCATCCAGGGTTGCTAGCACCTCCCTCTACACCGGGCCAGGAGGTTAAGGAGGTAAAGAAAGAGGCTAGGACAGACGCGGTGGCTCATGCCTGTAATCCCAGCACTTTGGGAGGCCAAGGCAGGGGGATTGCTTGAGGCCAGGAGTTGACCAGCCTGGCCGACATGGCAAAATCTTGTCTCTACTAAAAATACAAAAATTAGCCGGGCGTGGTGGTGCGCACCTGTAGTTTCAGCTACTCGGGAGGCTGAGGCACGAGATTTGCTTGGACCCAGGAGGCAAAGGTTGCAGTGAGCTGAGATTGTGTCACTCTACTCCAGCCTGGGTGACAGAGTGAGACTCTGTCTCAAAGGAAAAAAAGGAAAGAGACTAATTCCTACATAGAACCAGCCCTTGGGAACTGAGGCCAAAGTCGGAGAGGGGTTAGCGGATGAGACGATGGATCAGGAGGAGGGGTTCAGCATCTTTCCTATTCTCTGGCCTCTGGGGGCCGGGGTGACCGAGCAGAAACAGTCCTGAGAGTCCTGACCCGGGTTCAAATCCTGGCTCTGCCATTCACTACCCATGTGAGCTTTGGGCTAGTTGTTCCACCTCCCTGAGCCTCAGTTTCCTCATCTGTAACATGGGAATAACAACCCTTATCTCCGAGGGCTATTGCTAATGGCATGAAAATCCCTAAAAACAGCAAACTGCTCTATCGCCTATAAAGCACTGGGCTGGATGCACGGTGGCTGTCCAAGCCCATCCCCAGGATATGGCAGGAGGGAGCAAGAACTCCTCCATTCACCTCCAGCCCTGTCCCCAGCTCAGCTTTCACTTCCCACCAAGAGTCACCGGCCATCCCTGGAGTCTGGTCTTCTGCACGTCGAGGGACGGTTTCAGCCTGCAGAGCCTGTACCGGCGGATGGAGGGCTGCAGCGGGCCAGTGCTGCTGGTGCTCAGAGACCAGGACGGGCAGGTGAGCTGGGCAGGGGTGCCACCCGAGGCTCTGGGGGCACCCCACCAGGTACCCGTGGGCCCTGACCCAAGGCAGCTCACGGACAAGCAGACAGAGTGAAAGACTAAGTCACCTATAATGGACACTGATGATGGCAATGGGACCTGCCCACTCAGAGCCATTCCCCCATTTATGCATTCAACACATCTACATGGGGCGCCTTCTGTGTGCCAGGTGAGAGGTGGGATAGAGCAGAATCAACCCAGAAGCAGCCCCAGCTCTCTTGGAGCTAATGGTCTAATAGGGGAAGGGTCAGACAATTAAGCAAATAATCGTTTGACTGTAAAACTGCATCTTCATCCTCAGAAGTAGAAGAAAGTGTGGGGGTTGCCGGGCACGGTGGCTCACACCTGTAATCCCAGCACTTTGGGAGGCTGAAGCAGGAGAATTGCTTCAGTCCAGGAGTTCAAGACCAGCCTGGACAATATAGCCAGACCCTGTCTCTAAAAAAAAACCAAAACCAAAAACAAACAACAACAACAAAATTAGCCAGGTGTGGTGGTGTTTGCCTATAGTCCCAGCAACTGCAGCTGGGGGCATTGTAGGGGGGTTGAGGCTGCAGTGAGCCATGATCACACCACTGCACTCCAGCCTGGGTGACAGAGTGAGACCCTGTCTGAAGAAAAAAAAAAAAAAAAATATATATATATATATATACACACACACACTGGCATTAAACTGATGTCAGAAGGAAATATACCAAAATATTAAGAGTGATTATCTTGGGGAAGAATGAGGGGGATTGGGAGATGGCTTTACTTTTTTTATTTTGCTTCTCTATAACTGCTACTTTTTTCCACGATTACTTGCATAGAATGAATATATATATACATATATATACACACACACATATATATATATAATTTTTTTTTTAAGATGGAGTCTCGCTCTGTCACCCAGACTGGAGTGTAGTGGCGTGATCTCGACTCACTGCAACCTCCACCTCCTGGGTTCAAGCGATTCTCCTAACTCAGCCTCCCAAGTAGCTGGGATTACAAGCGCCCACCACCACACCTGGCTAATTTTTGTATGTTTAGTAGAGACAGGATTTCGCTATGTTGGCCAGGCTGGTCTCGAACTCCTGACCTCAGGTGATCAGCCCACCCTAGTCTCCCCAAAGTGTTGGGATTACAGGTGTGAGCCATTGCACTCAGCCTAGAGTAAGTATATTTAAGAAAAAGGAGGGCCCTGACCGCCCAGAGGAGGAAGCCAGCAGGACCTCTTCCTTGGGGAGCATTAAGGGAAAGGATGCATGAGGATTCCTGCTCTTGGGTGTGGAGCCCCCATGCCCCAGCTCTGCCCCAGCTTCCCAGGTGCCCTCTAGGATGAGCCTGTATTACTAAACCCGAAGAATGAGGGTCGTCAGAGGACCCCCAGCTCCCTTCCAGCTGCAGACTGCAACTTCCGCTTTCCAGATATTTGGAGCCTTCTCCTCCTCGGCTATCCAACTCAGCAAAGGCTTCTATGGTACCGGCGAGACATTCCTCTTCTCCTTCTCACCACAGCTGAAGGTGATGTTCCCAACCTTCCGTGGGGGGAGTGGGGCGTGTGGCGAGACAAAGCTCCTGGGGTCCCAGTGGCCCCCAGCTCCATCCTCCACGATGGGCTGCCTGGTGTGCCACTATCTTTCCACAGGGGTAATGAGCAGGGCAGTGGTGGGCAGAGCATCCCCCTTGACCTGTCTGTCCTGCATTTAAAACATACTTGGTGGGTTTGGCTGGGCGCAGTGGCTCACACCTGTAATCCCAGCACTTTGGGAGGCCAAGGCGGGTGGATCACTTGGTCAGGAGATTGAGACCATTCTGGCTAACATGGTGAAATCCTGTCTCTACTAAAAATACAAAAAATTAGCCGGGCGTGGTGGCAGGCGCCTGTAGTCCCAGCTACTCGGGAGGCTGAGGCAGGAGAATGGCATGAACCCGGGAGGCGGAGCTTGCATGAGCCGAGATAGAGCCACTGCACTCCAGCCTGGGTGACAGAGCAAGACTCCATCTCAAAAACAAAACAAAACAAAACATACTTGGTGGGTCTCTGGCAACCGCTGACTGGCTGAGAGGAGGGAGGACCATGCTTTCCAGGCACAGGCTGGGAAGACAAGATAGACCTGAGGGCGTGGTGGCAGGATGACGAAGAAGGACACAGCCAGTGGCTTCTCAGGAAGCATGGGGGCCAGGCACCGTGGCTCATGCCTGTAATCCTACTTTGGGAGGCCAACGAAGGTGGACTGCTTGAGTCCAGGATTTCAAGACCTGCCTGGGCAACATAGTGAGACCCCATCTCTACAAAAAATACAAAAATTAGCCAGACACGGTAGAGCACACCTGTAGTCCCAGTTACTTGAGAGGCTGATGCAGGAGGATCGCTTAAGCCTGGAAGGTTGAGGCTGTAGTGAGCCGTGATTGCACCACTGCATTCCAGCCTGGGCAACAGAGCAAGACCCTGTCTCTAAAAAAAAAAAAAAAAAGAAATACAGGGTGAGGTCATTGCTGGAGGAAGGTGAAGGATCGGGTATGGCAGTCATCAGAGGTGTGGGAAGGGAGGGAAGCCTGCTGGAGAACACCGGAGCAGCAGAAGTGCCGCTGGGCCGTGCGAGTGGTGGCTTGGGTTGTGAGGTTAGGGCGCCGCCACTTCTGTGCCTGCTTCTTCAGCAGCATCGGCTGCTCGGCGCAGGCCTGCAGAGAGGGGACACCAGAGAGTGGACTGCAGAGAGCGGGCAGCCAGGGTTAGGGGTTTTGCCCAACTGGTTTAACAGCGGCAGAGAGGGAAAGGAAGTTGAAGGGAGTGACAATACAACATGGACCACAGAACCTAGACTGGAGAAGGAGGGGAGGGAAGCAGGGGGCACTGCAGGACACCAAGGCAAAGGTGGGCTCGGCCTGAGAGGTCTCCCTGACGTCAAAGGCTTGGAGCAGTGACAGCAGTTGGACAATGTGTTGGAAGACAGGATACAGCGCACAGAGAGAGGGACATTTGAAATAGGCTGTGGAAGAGCCACCTGCCATCCTTGCTGAGGACAAATTCTCAGATGTGACCATGGAAGACAGCAGCAGAAACGCATTCTAGGGCAGGGCCTGGACAGGTCCGCGTGGATAGTGAAGTTTACCAGAGAGCTGTGAAGGGCTGGGGGTGGTGAGTCAGAGCTCAAGTTTCTAATTAATGACGAATGGGAGAGTGAAAGGCACAAGATGACTGGTAGAGTCGGGTGGCTCGACCTGCCCAGGAGCTGGGTGAGAATAATAGTTCCAAACGCCTTCCATCCGAAGATTTCCTGCCTCTGGGTTATTTATCCACTAAAGCTACCGAGCAGTACCTGCTTGGCACAGAGCAGACTATTTTTACTACTAGTAAAAATGGCCAGGCCAAGCGCTGTGACTCATGCCTATAATCCCAGCACTCTTAGGGAGGCAGAGGCAGGAGGATCGCTGGAGCCCAGGAGTTCAAGACCAGCCTGGGCAACAGAGCAAGATGCTATTTTCCACAAAAAGGGAAAAACAAAAACAAAACAAAAAATGACCAGGTGCGGTGGCTGGCTCACACCTGTAATCCCAGCATTTTGCGGGACTGAGGTGGGAGGATTGCTTGAGCTCAGGAGTTCAAGACCAGCCTGGGCAACAGAGTGAGATGCTGTCTCTTAAAAAAAATTTTTTTTTAATTGTTCAATGGATGAAGTCGTTCCAGGTATTTTGCTATTAGAGATCTCTCCAATGCACAGACTAAGATTCCTTCAGACACATCCAATCACACAGTCATCTGGTCTCATGACAGGGAGTTCACAAGGAGCTATGGACTGCTTTGCTAAAGGCAAAATATACCATATCTATTGCATTGCTGCCATCAGCTGGAGGGGCTCCATCAAGCTTCCCAGGATCCAGGAAAGGGTGAGGGAGGCATGGTGAGCCAGTGCTGGTACTACTCATCACCACTTGCCTTCCTGAACTTAAGTCTTAGTTCTAAAGGTCTAGAATTTTCCTTCCATTGCACTGACAGCTCCTAGTAGAATCTTTTGCTGGTTCCTCCTCATCTCCCCAGTCTTTCAACATCAGAGCTCAGGTGTTGGTTCTCGTATCTTCTCTAGCAGCCCTCATTTATTCTGTGGTCTCATCCATTCCCACAGCTCTTCATGCTGCCTGCATGCTAATGGCCTCTTCCCTGACTCCAAACTCACATATATCCAACAACTGCCCATCATCTCTCTCTGCATCTCAAACATGGCATTTCTTTTCTCTTTTTTTTCTGAGACAGAGTCTCACTCTGTCACCCAGGCTGGAGTACAGTGGCGCCATCTCAGCTCACCGCAGCCTCCACCTCCTGGGCTCAACTGATCCTCCTGCCTCAGCCTCCCAAGTAGCTGGGACTACAAGCACATGCCACCACGCCTGGCTAATTTTTGTGTTTTTTGTAGAGATGGGGTTTCACCATGTTGCCCAGGCTGGTTTTGAATTCCTGAGCTCAAGTGATCTGCCTGCTTCCACCTCCCAAAGTGCTGGTATTACAGGTATAAGCGCTGCATCTGGCCCCAAACATGGCATTTCCAGCTTATCATGTCCCAAACAGACCTCCTGGCTTTCCCACACAAAGCCTCCTCCTCCTGCTGTCTTCCCCCATCAAATGAATGGCATCTCCCTCTCCTGCTGCTGAGATAGAAAGTCTTGAAGTCCTCCTTAACTGTCTTTCACAACTTGACATCTGAACTGTCAGCGAATCCTGACAGCTCTGCCTTCTCTCTATATTCAGGATCCACCACTGCCATGTCCTTTGCTGGCATCTTGGTTCAAGCCACCATCATTACTTGTGTGTCCCTGCTATTGCCTCCTAAAAGGTCTCTCACTGCCTCCACTTCGGTCAGCACAGTAGCTGGAGCGATCCTTTCAAAAGGGAAGCCAGGGCAGGGCGCGGGGGCTCATGCCTGTAATCCCAGCACTTTGGGAGGCCGAGGTGGGTGGATCACTTGAGGTCAGGAGTTTGAGACCAGCCTGGCCAACATGGTGAAACCCCAGCTCTACTAAAAACACAAAAATTAGCCAGGCATGGTAGTATGCGCCTGTAATCCCAGCTACTCGGTAGGCTGAGGCATGAGAATCTCTTGAACCTGGAGGAGGCGGAGGTTGCAGTGAGTTGAGATCGTGCCACTGTACTCCAGCCAGGGTGACAGAGTGAGACTCTGTCTTAACACAAATTAAAAAAAAGGTGGGGGGAAGCTAGAACTCACAGCATGTCACTCCTTGGCTTCCTCTTTCACCTGGGGAAGAGCCAAAGTGTGTCCAATGATCTACATCCCTACGCCTTCTGGCCTCTCTCTGAATGGCATTTCTTGCTACTTTTCCTTTCTCTCACTCTGCTCCAACCACACTGGCCTCTGAGCTGGTCCGCAAACATGGAACTTCACGTCTTTAATATAAATAAAGAGAAATAAAACAGGGTCTGGGAGGAAGGGCTACTTCAGATAGGGTGGTCCAGGAAATTTCTCTGAGATGACATTGGGGCTGAAGGATGAGAGGTGGGCCCTCTGAGGATCTGGGGGAAGAGCATTCTGGGCAGAGGGATTCTAGGGCAGGAATGGGAATGGGCTTTGGGTGTTCCAGGGATGGAAGGACTGGTGTAGCTAAAGTGTAGTCAATAAGGGGGAGAAGGGGCCAGAGAGAAAATCAGGGGTTAGAGCTGGCTGCACTTTTAAGTTTTGATAGTTTTTTTTGTTGTTGTTTTTTAGAGTTGGGGGTCTTGCTCTGTTACCCACGCCAGAGTGCAGTGGTGCAATCATAGCTCACCGTAGCCTCCACTCCTGGGCTGAAGTGATCCTTCCACCTTAGCCTCCCTGATAGCTGGGACTATAGGTGCACACCACCATCACCAGCTAGATTTAAAAAAATTTTTTTAGGGCCAGGCACAGTGACTCACGCCTGTAATCCCAGCTCTTTGGGAGGCTGAGGCAGGCAGATCATGAGGTCAGTAGATTGAGACCTGCCTGGGCAACATGGTGAAACCCGTCTCTACTAAAAGCTGGGCGTGGTGGCGCGTGCCTGTAGTCCCAGCTATTCGGGAGGCTGAGGCAGGGGAATCGTTTGAACTCTGGAGGCGGAGGTTGCAGTGAGCCGAGATTGCGCCACTACACTCCAGCCTGGTGACAGAGCGAGACTCCGTGTCAAAAGAGAGAAAGAGAAAAAAAAATTTTAGAGATAAGGGAGGGTCTTACTTTGTTGCCCTGGTTGGTCTAGAACTCCTGACCTCGAGGAAACTCCTGGCCTCAAGCGATCCTTCTGCCTCAGCCTACTGAGTAGCTGGGATTACAGGTGCACACCATCACACCTGGCTAGTTAAAAAAATTGCTGGGATTACAGGCATGAGCCACTGCACCAGGCCCAGGCTGCACTTCTGGCCATTGTTAAGTTGAATTTTATCCCCACTGCAATGGGAAGTCATTGGAGGACTTAGGCAGAGGAAACATCTGATTTGGACGTCGAACAGATCAGGCAGATTGCAGTGTGGGTATGGCTGTAGGTACAGACAGGGGAGGCAGAGGGACCAGCTGGGAGGCTGTGATCCAGGCAGAGGACGGGATAGAAATGGCGGCAGGCAGGCTATGTCTAGAGCTGCGAGGCTTGTGGATGAGCTGGATGTGAGGCAGCGCTGAAGCGCAGGCAGGCTGGTGTTGTCTGGGTGAGAGGCGACGATGAGTTACTTAATGGCAGTATCAGTCCCCACTCCTGGCCTGGACTGCTCCCCTCCTCCCTCCAGCTTTGGAAGCAGGAAGCCTCAGAGGTTGTTGTCCTATTCTAGAACAAAGTGGCTTCTAGGCTGTAGGAATTCAAACTAAAGGGCATGTGGCGGTGACTCCAAGGAGACTGAGAAGAGAAACCCCAAGATCCCTGAACCCGGAGTCCCACCTGCATCTCGGCTGCGGCCTGGATGCTGTTCCCGCCACAACATTGCCACCCAGTGGTTCGGGGTCAAACTGCAAGGGCGGGACACGCTCCCGTAGTAACTGAGCCTTTCCCTATCACCCAGGTCTTTAAGTGGACTGGAAGCAACTCTTTCTTTGTGAAGGGAGACTTGGATTCACTGATGATGGGCAGTGGCAGGTGAGTGTCTCAGTCCTCCTGAGTCTTGGGGTGGTCTGTGTTCTGGCCCCTTTCCCTCTGCTGAACTGCTGGGCGAGGCTGCCCTTGATGCAATGGGGAGGCTGGTGGGAACTCTCAGGCTGTTCCCTTCATTGCTCAGCCTCCCAGCCAACCCCCTCACCCTCACACTAAGCCAGTATTAAGCAGAAAGGATGTATGAGTGCCCCCACCGAAGTGTTACAGCTGGTGACAGTTTACTCTGAATGTATGCAACTTTTGGAATTCCACATGGTTGGATGAGGCTAGCGTCAAGAAATGAGTGTGCCTCGTTTTTCCATCAGCCCAGGAATTGCAGGGGACATAACTCATTGCAGGAGCCTCCCTCAGTGAGGACAGGGGGTAGAGAGAGGTAGGAAAAAAAAGTTGTTGATCTCATCCTGGTGTGACCTTCACATTCAGGGGGCATGCATCTTATCCTGAGGGCAGGGATGACAGCATTGCTTGATTAGTACCAGGCAAATTCTTTGCTCTCCCAACTGCCTGAAAAGCCTCCACTGAGGGGCAGCTTGGCAGAGAACACATCAGCCATTGCTGATCTGCAGGAATTCACTTCCTAGCTCCGGCTGAGGTTTTCTATCAAATAAGGGGATTCGAATGGATGCTCTGAAGTATTTGGGCTCTCAGAGTTTGCACCCCGAGATGTACTAGCTTTGGTTAAAGAATTGCCATTTTTAATTTTTATTTTTTTATTTTTTTTGAGACAGAGTCTCGCTCTGTCGCCCAGGCTGGAGTGCAGTGGCGTGATCTCAGCTCACCGTAACTTCCCCCTCCCAGGTTCAAGTGATTCTCCTGCCTCAGCCTCTGGAGTAGCTGGGGACTACAGGTGCCCACCACCACGCTCGACTAATTTTTGTATTAAGAACTGCCATCTTGGGCCAGGATCATGCCTGTAATCCCAGCACTTTGGGAGGCCAAGGTGGGCAGATCATGAGGTCGGGAGATCGAGGCCATCCTGGCTAACACGGTGAAACCCCGTCTCTACTAAAAATACAAAAAATTAGCCGGGCGTGGTGGCTGGCGCCTGTAGTCCCAGCTACTTGGGAGGCTGAGGCAGGAGAACGGTGTGAACCCAGGAGGCGGAGCTTGCAGTGAGCCGAGATTGCACCGCTGCACTTCAGCCTGGGCAACAGAGCGAGACTCCTACCGAAAAAAAAAAATTGCCATCTTGGCCGGGTGCGGTGGCTCATGCCTGTAATTCCAGCACTTTGGCATGAGACGGGCAGATCACTTGAGGTCAGGAGTTCGAGAGCAGTCTGGCCAATGTGGTGAAACCCTGTCTCTACTAAAAAATACAAAAATTAGCTGAGCATGGTGGCAGGCATCTGTAGTCCCAGCTACTCGGGAGGCTGAGGTGGGAGAATTGCTTCAACCTGGAAGGCGGAGGTTGCAGTGAGCTGAGATCACACATTGCACTCCTGGGCGACAGAGCGAGACTCCGTCTCAAAAAAAAAAAAAAAAAGAATTGCCACCTTAAAATGCCCAAATGTTCTAAAATGGGCTGTTGGTGATCAGTTGCGCTACATGTATATACTTATTATATATCTGAACTGTTCAAAAATTTACTCTTAGTCCGGCATTTGGTGGCCCACGCCTGTAATCCCAGCACTTTGGGAGGCCAAGGCAGGCAGATCGCTTGAGGTCAGGAGTTCAAGACCAGCCTGGCCAACATAGCAAAACCCCATCTCTACTAAACGTACAAAAATTAACCAGGTATAGTGGTGGGTGGCCTGTAATCCCAGTTACTCGGGAGGCCGAGGTAGGAGAATTGCTTGAACCTGGGAGGTAGAGGTTGTGGTGAGCCAAGGTTGTGCCACTGCACTCCAGCCTGGGTAACAAAGGAAGACTCTGTCTCAATAAATAAATAAACAAACAAATAAACAAATACTCTCAACCCCATGGGGAACAATGTGCTGAGTCCCTAGTAATTCAGTATAAATTGCTTTAAGGGGAGGTAAGACAGGTGAAACTGGGCTGCCATCCTGGCATGGCCAAGAGCTGATTGGCATGGCCAATCAGTGGCAGAGCCTGAGGGTTTCAGCACACAGGAGTAAGCTGCACCAAGACTGTCCTCTTCTCTAGTGGCCGGTTTGGGCTGTGGTTGGATGGAGACTTGTTTCACGGGGGAAGCTCCCCTTGCGCAACCTTTAACAACGAGGTGCTGGCCCGGCGGGAGCAGTTCTGCGTCCAGGAGCTGGAGGCCTGGCTTCTCAGCTGATGGCCCTGCGGCAACAGGTACTCAGCCCTGCTCACGATGCCACCCAGGCCTTCCTGACACACGGCAGCCTGTGCTGTTCGAAACACAGATGCTGAAGGGCCCTAGAGTTGGCTGAGGCTGCTGGCCAGCCTCCTTGTGGCCTGGGGACCCAAGATACAGGTGGGGGCAGGCACTGCTGTTTTGCAGAGGTGACTCTGAAGGATTAAAAGATGCTTACACCTTACCCAAGCAGCACCGAGACCCTAAGCTAACAGGGCCTTAGAAAACTAAGAAAAATCCGCATCCCTTCCCATGCTAGTGCCTGCCTCCTGGCAAAGGGAAGATTTTTCACTATGCTGTTCCCCGCCAGCTACTGAACGAGGAAAACCAACCTCATGAACATTATCATTTTAGAGGTTCTACAACGAATTCATGTTTATAGTAGAAAAACCAGAAGACATTAAAAAAAATGAAAATTGCCTAAAATTCAACCCCCCCAACTCTAACATTTTCATGTATATCCTTCCAGACAATGTTCCATGAATATGTGTGTGTGTGTATTCTTACAGAAATGGGATTCTACTCTGTATGTGTGGGAATGATTTTAACTTACAGAATATTGTCAAACCTTAGAAACCCGGGCTTGAGCACTGGAACTAATAAAGACTCTAGCAGCATCATTCCTCCTCTGGCCTGCTGCAGAACGTTGAGGCCCTTTTGTCTGCCACCAGTGCCAGGTTCTTGTGAATCTGCTATTTAATTTGATGAGGAAGGTATGAAAGGAGCAAATGAGTAATATGCATATTCAGACAAGGAGGTCGAAAGCTTTGTGGAACACAACTTTCAAAATGGAGATACATTCATGAAGCTTTATTGCAGCTGTTTCCCTTACCCAGTTGAAGTGGCCAGTCATTTTAATTTGCAGTTCTATTTACATTCCCAGGGTAACCACGTTCAGTAACTCTCTAGAGGCTAAGCTGTTAAAATTTCCATTTTTATACAAATAGCGAAGATGTTTCTTTCCTTTTTTTTTTTTTTTTTGTTTGAGACAGAGTTTTGTTCTTGACTCCCAGGTTGGAGTGCAGTAGCGATCTTGGCTCACTGCACACTCCACCTCCCCGGTTCAAGTGATTCTCCTGCTTCAGCCTCCCGAGTAGCTGGGATTACAAGCACACACCACCACAATTTCGCCTGGCTAATTTCTGTATTTTTAGCAGAGACTAGGTTTCGCCATGTTGGCCAGGCTGGTCTCGAACTCTTTACCTCAAGTGATCCGCCCACCTCGGCCTCCCAACGTGCTGGGATTACAGGTGTGAGCCACTTCGCCTGGCCAAGATGTTTCTTAAGGAAAATGTAACCTTGTAAATAGCGCAGAGTTATCATAATGAAAACAGTTGCAAAGAACATAAAGTACAGCTGCCTTACATGTAACAAAAGATGCAAACAAAATCCATTCAAGTTGTTTCACAGACAGCACAGTGACACAGTATTAGGACTACAGAATCTCAGAGTAAATCACAATGATTTAAAGGTAAGATACACAGAAATAAAATGATTTTAACACAGTATGACATTCCTGAGGCACCTTGGCTAAAATGGGAATGACTTAGTGCCATGGCTGACCTCACTTGTGCGTTGCTGAGCCCATATGTGAACAGATCGCCCCAATACCATGGTAGGCATGAGAGGAGAAGGGTTTTAACTATTCTCTTATGAATTGTAACCAACCCCTATTATCTACTGATGGATGGAGTGGAGGGGGGCGGTGGGGGGGTGGGGTGATCATACAGGATGGCAGACATTCCAAGTACTCTTCACCCCAGTGTGGACGGAACAGAATCTGGCTACACGGTGGCCAGTGACAGACTACTGGGAAATCTGCTGGCCTGTGGTCTGAGTTCCCCTACACGCTCAGGCTGCCCCTCACTCCCAGTGTGCCAGGGAGGCTTAGTCCGGGGAGCACCAGAGCGGAAGACATTCGGGGCTCATGGCTCCTATCCCCACTAGCCTGCATCTTCAGCACCCTCTGGCCACCACCAGCTTTGGCTCTAACTGCAGACTTTTTTTTTTTTTTTTTGAGACGGAGTCTCGCTCTGTCACCCAGGCTGGAGTGCAGTGGCTCTATCTCAGCTCACTGCAAGCTCCGCCTCCCGGGTTCATGCCATTCTCCTGCCTCAGGAGACTACCACGCCTGGCTAATTTTTTGTATTTTTAGTAGAGATGGGGTTTCACCATGTTAGCCAGAATGGTCTTGATCTCCTGACCTTGTGATCCGCCCGCCCCGGCCTCCCAAAGTGCTGGGATTATAGACATGAGCCACCGTGCCTGGCCCTGCAGACTTTGTTCTTGGTGAATTGCTATAGAACTGGGAATAAGGTGTGCCCTGGGCACAGGGACACTGCCCCACCAAGGTGGTGCCCCCTCCACTGCTGGGAAAACGAAGTTACCTAGGGGAGCCTGGAACCCACTGGGCAGTCACTAATTTCCCCACAGGCAGTGCAGTGTTTGCACCTTTTTTTTTTTCTTTTTTTTTGGAGATGGAGTCTCACTCTGTCACCCAGGCTGGAGTGCAATGGCGTGATCTTGGCTCACTGCAACCTCCGCCTCCCAGTTTCAAGCGATTCTCCTGCCTCAGCCTCCCAAGTAGCTGGGACTACAGGCGCACGCCGCCACGCCCGGCTAGTGTTTGCTCTTAAATACACAAAATGCACCGAACCAGCAAAAACAAAGTCCCAGGTCTGAGGAGCTCTGAGGATGGTGCCTGTGACAGCCTCTAGCCAGCTCTCCAGGATACTCAGAGAGCAGGTCAGGGGAGGCTTTCTCCAGGCGGGGCAGTGGGAAGGCCCTCTGGACCGGGGGAGTGAGTATTCAGGAGACAAAGGCACTGCCCAGGTCTGGAACCGCCACGGAGCCAGGGCACAGCCTAGTTTGGGGCATTCCTCTGTCACTGGGGGTAGGGATCTCCCAACAAGAGGCGGCTTTAGGCTTCACTCATGAGGAGGCCTGAGCTCTCAGATCTTCCCCAAAACCTAATCAGGCCTCTCACCAGTGTGTTGGAGGCCACTCCTGGCCATCATCTCCAACTGTTTACCTCAACTTGGCACCTTGTAGGGGGCTAAAAGGGCGAGGGGAGGTGTTTTTCACCTATGCTTGAAGAGGATTGTCCTCAAACTTGAAGTGATAGGGAACTCTTCACCGGGGTAGGATTTGATGTTTTGTTTTTAGCCATGTTTGTCTATGACAATGTCAACTTCTAATTCCAATTTGTACCCTTGTCTCATTTCTACATTAAAAACAAAAAACAATCATCCGTCATAAAAGTTCAGAGTAAGCTGGGTGTGGTGGCACGTGCCTATAGTCCCAGCTACTTGGGAAGCTAAGGCAGGAGGGTCACTTGAGCCCAGGAAAGTGCGAGTCCAGCCTGGGCAACAGAGCAAAACCTTGTCTTTTAAAAAAGAAAAAAAAGAGAGTTCAGAGTAGATAAAAGAGTTGTTATTCTAAGAAAATAGACTACCGAAGGAGAAAGACTTTAATAATATTAAAAATAGGCAAGGTAATACTTTTCATAGTATAGTAAGATTTGCCTAATACCATCTTATTTCTTTGATTAAAAATTACTTAGCTACAGCATGCGTGTACATTCAAACTACAAAATTAAAGCATGAGTTATCATAATTTTGCAGAATTCTATGAGTGAAGCCCCTAAATGAATTGTGCAGGGGAGGGAGTTTGTAAATAGCCGACTACAGACATTCACCTTGGGTCATCTTTAAAAAGCTGGAGTCTGCTTTTGGATGCTTCTCGGAGGCGAGTTGGACTTTGGACTGAAGTCCTGTAGTTCCATTCCTTTTTCTGAGGTGTTATGAGTGGGGCTATAACATCGCCATCCTATTAGAAGGAGAGAGAAAAACAGAGAACAGAGAAAAGCCAGTTTCCATCATCTTATTTGTGAGTGAAAGTCTCAGGTGCGCACATCCTCATCTTGCATATAGATTGCTTCTAGATGTCCTCACTCCAGGGAAACTCCAAATTACCTATGCCCTGTGGTTGGGACCAATTAGAAACACTACAGTCTTATGCAGGAAGAGCCTTCATGAAAACAGACACTGGCCTCTGCAGAGATGACGGGAAGCAGCATACCACTGCCCACCTCTATGGCCTCCTTCACACACCTTCATGGAGCACAAACCCTGTCCTGTTTGCCCAGGAGAAAGACAGGATGCACTGAACCCTTAGGTTCTCTCTCGCCTGGTCCCCTCTGTAATAAATGGCCCAGGTCTACAAGATGGCAAAGAAGGGGAGAAAAGACAGTATGTACCTGCAGAATTAAAATTTTTCTCTGTATCAAAGCTCTAACGTTGGCCCCATCAGCATAGGCTCCAGCCAAAGGACCTCCTCCACCCAAAATAAGGGAGAGATCCAAAGGGAGGTGATACAATGACCTGAAACCACAGAGGTAAGAAGAAGCAAGGCCTCCTAATACTCGACTCTATGCTAACTGTTCTGAACTTGTGTGTAGATCCTTTTTGGTTATGAGAGGATGCAGGATCTTGGAGAGCTTCTGTTGTATCAGGAATACAATGCTGGTAGGAGGATTCGTGCTCCTCATCTGCCTGTTTGCTCTCAGATCCATTCTTCACTCCTCCTCTCCCTACTCTGTTTCACTGGAGCCACTCCGGTAAATTACATCTCTCAGCTCCCATGCCTGCTGGTTTCCAGTTAGGTTTGGTCTCTCTGGTGGGAGACGAGGTGAGAAGAGGGCAGAGAAATCAGGTTATTTCTCTCCCTACCTCCTCTGGCATGAGTGGCAGTGGCAGTGACTCTTTTGTGGTTCTAGCTTCTGCAGGTGGCCCCAGCTCCGGGACTCCCACCTGCTCCCTTGGTCTCTCCTATCCTAGAGGTGGTAGCAGCTTCCTGCTTTTGAATCACCATCCTCTGTACTCATTTAGCTCTGCCAGAACTTTTGTATCTCATCCCCCATGTTAAATTTCTTCTGTTGAACCACACTGGATCTGACTTGATAGAACCATTAAAAACAGTATTTTAAAAATTTATCATTATTATGTTTTTGAGGTGGAATCTTGCTCTGTCACCCATGCTGGAGTGCAGTGGCACGATTTCAGCTCACTGCAACCTCCACCTCCAGGGTTCAAGCGATTCTCCTGCCTCAGCCTCCCAAGTAGCTGGGATTACAGGTGTGCACCACCATGGCTAATTTTTGTATTTTTAGTAAAGATGGGGTTTCACTATGTTGGCCAGGATGGTCTCGAACTCCTGATCTCAGTAAAGGCAATCATTTAGGCCAGGCGTGGTGGCTCACGCCTGTAATCCTAGCACTTTGGGAGGCCAAGGCAGGTGGATCACTTGAGGTTGGGAGTTCAAGACCAGCCTGGGCAACACAGTGAGACCCTGTCTCTACTAAAAATACAAAAATTAGCTGGGCATGGTGGTGCATGCCTGTAGTCCCAGCTACTCAGGAGGCTGAGGCAGGAGAATCACTTCAACCCAGGAGGCGGAGCTTGCAGTGAGTTGAGACCATACCACTGCACTCCAGCCTGGGCAACAAAGTGAGACTCCGTCTCAAAAAAAAAGTCATTCTATTGCTGTGATACTTGTTCTTAAAGGTCTATTTCAAAATCGACAGTTTTTATTTGTCTTTAAACTCATCTCTATTTCTTTTTTTTTACTGAGATGGAGTCTTGCTCTGTCGCCCAGACTGGAGTGCTGTGGCACAATCTCGGCTCACTGCAAGCTCTGGTTCCCGGGTTCACGCCATTCTCCTGCCTCAG